CCAAGTAATTAAGCCAATATAATTAATTATTAGCTAGTTATAAATATTAATCACATATAAGGTGTAATGAAGTTGTGCTATGTACCACCTGCATGCAGAATGTCAGGGCCAAATGGATGGAGGATATCACTGGGTTTAGCTGCCATTCCAGCACTCTTGTTAACCATGGGGTCTCTCATTGTAACAGACACTCCTAACAGTTTGATTGCTCGCGGTAAGATGGAGGAAGGGAAAGCGATTCTTAAAAAGATTCGTGGTGTTGACAACGTCGAACCAGAGTTCGCAGAAATTGTTGAGGCCAGTCGTGCGGCTAACGAAGTGAAGCATCCCTTCAGAAATCTCCTTAAGCGCAGAAACAGGCCTCAACTGGTCATTGCAATTTGCATGCAGGTGCTGCGACTATAGCCTATTGCTGTGTTAACTAGTTTTCACAATCACATATTATTAGATAGTCTGACATGTTATGTTTGTACGTGCATACAGATTTTCCAGCAATTGACTGGCATTAACGCAATTATGTTCTACGCTCCCGTTTTGTTCAAGACCTTGGGATTTAAGAGTGACGCTTCCCTTTACTCATCCGCCATAACAGGAGCTGTCAATGTCCTCTCAACTATTGTATCAATCTACTTTGTGGACAGGGCTGGTCGCCGCGTGCTCCTGCTAGAAGCGGGTGTTCAAATGTTCCTTTCTCAAATTGTGATTACAGTAGTGCTCGGAATCAAACTTAAGGACGACGTGAACAACCTCGGCCATGGCTTGGGAATTCTTGTGCTGGTTTTCGTGTGCAGTTTCGTTGCCTCCTTTGCATGGTCTTGGGGACCTCTTGGGTGGTTGATTCCTAGTGAGATTTTCGCACTAGATGCTCGCTCAGCCGGCCAAAGTGTGGCTGTCTTTTTCAACATGCTCTTCACCTTTATTATAGCCCAGGCCTTCCTCTCAATGCTTTGCCACATGCAGTTTGCCATTTTCTTGTTTTTCGCAATTTGGGTCTTCGCCATGACTCTCTTCACTCTCTTCTTAATTCCCGAGACGAAAGGTGTCCCTATTGAAGAGATGACTGAGAGAGTATGGAAGAAGCACTGGTTCTGGAAGCGATATATGGATGAAGTCGAAGATAATCCCAAGGCCCAGGCAAATGCTTAAACCAGTTATCCTTGCCTGCAGGGTTCTTAGATTTTACAATTTCCACGAATTTAAGTTTTAGGAGTTGTTTAGTTCTAGTAGACCTTCATCTCGCACTTCCATGCCATTTGATTTGTTTTTCTTCCTTTGAACGTAGCTTCAATTTCATTCCAAGCAAAGTACTTGTCAGCAGTGTATAGACTACACTCTGCATGTCAATTGCTTTAATAATTGTTATTTTCACCGATTAATGTAAGGCTTATCTTTTATTGTTATGTCACGCATGATCTGGTTTATCTTAAAATATTTTATTCAAAACAAATTAAAAATATTTGTAGGTTAGTACATCTGGCTTACCTTGTGGCAACATCCATTTTAAGACATATGCAAGATGTACTAGTTGACGAATTAACTACCACATGATAAGGTTAGGAAATGTACGGCCCTTCTAGTTTTACTCTAGACAGACTCGATCAACTTTAGTTCAACGAATTTCGCGTTAATGCCTGACCAAGCAATCAAAACCAACCATAGATCATGCCATGGGGAAGGATCCTGACCATGGTACAGACTAAATCATGCCTTTATCTACGAAAGTTCACTCGCTGTTGCCATGAGGTCACCTACCCTCAAGCACACATTTCATTTCATCGAGCTAGTTTTTCAAAACAGGTTGGCTAGTATATACAAGTATCCGCATTCATCAAATTAAATATATACAAGTATCCGCAGAATCAAAGTGATCAAAGTGTAGCAAAATAAGTTTGAGTACTAAATTAGGAAGCAGAAACAATGGCCGGAGGTGGCTTTGGGGCCGCATCGGGAGGCGGAGACTTTGAAGCAAAGATCACGCCTCTAGTGATCATTTCTTGCATAATGGCCGCTAGCGGAGGCCTCATGTTCGGTTATGATGTTGGTATTTCAGGTAGGCATTGTGGAGCTTTTCATATCATTCACGTCAAATTCATTAACCATTTTTTTTGGGGGTTAAAAAGTTAATTAGAATTCTTTCTTGATTTAATTAATTTGACACGTGTGATCATTGTGATGGATGCAGGGGGTGTTACATCCATGCCTTCTTTCCTGAAACAGTTCTTCCCGGTTGTTTATAAGAAGACTCAAGAGACTGGACTTGAGAGCAACTACTGCAAATACGATAATCAAGGCTTGCAGTTGTTCACATCTTCCTTGTACCTCGCTGCTTTAATTTCAACCTTCTTCGCGTCGTACACAACCCGATCCCTGGGACGAAAGCTCACCATGTTCATTGCTGGGGTTTTCTTTGTAGTCGGAACAGTTTTTAATGCTGCAGCTGTTAACCTTGCCATGCTTATCATTGGGAGGATCTTGCTTGGTTGTGGAGTTGGTTTTGCTAACCAGGTACATAATTATTTCCTAATCTTAGCTTTTTCTATCACATGCTAGGTTTTACTAATTAATGAATATAATTACAGGCAGTGCCGCTTTTTCTTTCTGAGATTGCACCCACAAGAATTCGCGGGGCACTTAACATACTCTTCCAGCTAAATATCACCATTGGCATTCTTTTCGCAAATCTTATCAATTCTGGAACGGCCAAGTAAGCCACCATCCTCCCTAATATTTCATTAATCATCACCGGTAATTAGACACAAGTGATTAATCAATGTACGTTTTCTGGCACAGAATTGAAGGGGGATATGGATGGAGAGTGTCACTAGGTTTGGCTGGCATTCCAGCAGGTATGCTGACTGTTGGGTCTCTCATTGTGGTAGACACTCCTAACAGTTTGATCGAACGAGGTAAGTTGGAGGAAGGAAAAGCAGTTCTTAAAAGGATTAGGGGTGTTGACAATGTGGATCCAGAATTCTTAGAGATTGTGGAGGCAAGTCGTGTGGCAAAAGAAGTGAAGCATCCTTTCAGAAACCTCCTTAAGCGTAGGAACAGGCCTCAATTGGTCATTGCAATTTGGATGCAGGTGCCGCAACTATACTAGAACTTGTGCTAACTAAGGCAATTCAAAATCTTAGTTAAATTTAACACGTATCATATAGTCTCACATGTTATGTTTTACGTGCCTACAGATTTTCCAGCAATTCACTGGCATTAACGCAATCATGTTCTACGCTCCAGTTTTGTTCCAGACCTTGGGATTTAAGAGTGATGCTTCCCTATACTCAGCTGTTATTACAGGAGCTGTCAATGTCCTCTCAACCGTTGTATCAATATACTTTGTCGACAGAGCTGGTCGGCGCGTGCTATTGTTAGAAGCCGGTGTCCAAATGTTCCTTTCTCAATTGGTGGTTGCAATAATAATGGGACTCAAAGTGAAGGATCACTCTAACAACCTTGGCCATGGCTTGGCAATTGTTGTGGTGCTTATGGTTTGCAGTTTTGTTTCATCCTTCGCGTGGTCTTGGGGACCTCTCGGGTGGTTGATCCCTAGCGAAACGTTCCCATTAGAGGCCCGCTCAGCAGGCCAGAGTGTGGCTGTCTGTACCAACATGCTCTTCACCTTTATCATAGCACAGGCCTTCCTCTCAATGCTTTGCAACATGAAGTTTGGCATTTTCCTCTTCTTCACATTTTGGGTCTTTGTCATGACAATTTTCGTTGTGGTCTTAATTCCTGAGACCAAGGGTGTCCCTATTGAAGAAATGACAGAAAGAGTTTGGAAGCAACACTGGTTCTGGAAGCGATTCATGGATGACGTAGAAGATGATCCGAAGGGCAAGTTGCATGCTTGAACTATCTTTCCTCCTCCTATCTCGATCCGCACGTACGAGATAATACACCCAAATTGAACCCAAATTACACAGTTGACATATCAATGTTTTTCAAGAACACACATAAGAGGAGCCAAATAATCATTCCTGTCAAATTGCATCCAAATTGAGAAAAATCTTGTAGCCACTTGATTATTATCATGAATATTTCATTCTTTATCAAACATATTGTGATCGTCTATTTTGGCAATAGTTATATAACTAAGCACCTTTCGATTTGAATGCATAGGGATGATCATTCAATTAACGAACTGAAAAGTAAACAGTTCAGATCATGAGATAGATTTTGGAGTAGATCAAGGCGAGTGGTTAGTGCCTTATTAACTTACTGACTGTTTAGCACTTAGATGCAAAAAATTTCTCTATAATTAAGGATAAAAGAATAAGTAAATAGGAGAAAGAAGGCTATTAATTAACACATGCGGGTCAAGACGCTAGTATATATAATATATATCCCATTCCATTAAGGGATTCATAAAATAAATTTGTTTGATGGGTCACTTGTGGGGCCCACTTCGAATTGTGTTTCAATTATTCAAATGGTCATTCATAATCATCTTTGCAAAAAATTTGCCAACATGTAAACCATTTAGATATCTAAGTGTGGTCAAATAAATTGACGAACTCGATGGTTTTCAAAGACAAACTAAAATCACTACCACTTAATCAAATGGTTAAATTATTCCATTTTGGTGATTTTTTGTGTAGAGATATCTTTGAGAGAACACCTAAAAAATTGAAGGGTTTGATTATGAAACTAGAACACATAGTGGGCCCAAAGATCATCAATTCAAACTAATATAAACATATCGTACAAAAACGCTCAAGTGCTAACCATTTAGTAACTTAATATGACGATAACCACTCGTTTTTGGACCTACTCCACAATGTAACTTCATGATTCCAACTGTTATTTTTAAAATTTCATTCAAGGATCATTCCTCCAAAGTTCCACCTAAATCGGAAATTAATCATTTAGGAATTTGTATATGACTCAGAACATTTTATTGTTATCTAATATTAATGTGCTCGTCTATTTATTTAGTCACTCTTGAAAAATAATTAGTTCAAATCATGAGAAGCATTATGCATTGGGTCTAAATAGTGAAGATGTTCACTTTGCGGGCAGCAGTTATGTGGACTGTGAATGGTTTTCCCGCATATGCAATAGTTTCTGGGTGGAGCACAAAGGGTTATATGGCATGCCCTGTATGCAAAGGAGATGTAACTTCTGGTTGGCACGCCGGAAAAGTTTGTTATCTTGGTCATTGGAAATGGTTGCCATAGGACCACGAGTGGTGGGAAAAAGATAAAGAGTTTTACGGGAACACAGAGCATCGCCTCAGACCTAGAGAATGGTCCGGTGATGAGATATTGGAACAACTTAACCGTTTGGATTTTTCTCCATTCGGGAAAACAGTTACTTAGACCAGAGCTTCTACACATTTGAACTAGACACACAAGCCTATGTCTTTTGAGCTCCCATATTGGTCGAAACTAAAATTGAGGCACAATCTCGACATTATGCATGTTGAGAAAAATGTCTTTGACATATTGATGGGCACGATTCTAGATATCAAGGGTAAGACAAAGGACACGATCAAAGCTCGTTTTGATTTGGAAAGAATGGGCATTCGAAGAGGTTTATGGATGAACATGGGCGGTGATAAAACTAGAAGGGATCTAACATTTTTTTCCATGAAACTGAATGACAAAAATTTTTTCTAAAGTTTGTATCGTCTGTAAAGTTTCCCGATGGGTATGCTTCTAATATCGCGCGTTGCGTGAATGTTGACGGGGGTAAATTTACTGGACTAAAGAGCCATGACTGCCATGTGTTTATGCAACGCCTACTTCCTGTGGGTATTCGACACCTTTTGCCAGAAGATGTAGTGAAACCAATCATGTTGTTGTCCAGATTTTTTTCCCAACTGACGGCAAAAACATTGCAAAAGACATACATTAATCAGTTGCACCATGACATTGTCCAAGTCCTATGCAAGTTCGAGATGATATTCCCTCCAGCTTTCTTCACAAGTATGATCCACGTGATGATTCACTTGCCAGAAGAGGCATTGCTTGCTGGTCATGTCAACTATCGCTGGATGTATCCAATAGAAAGGTATATAATCCTCATAATTTGTTTATGCATCCTTATCCCACGCTTGCTAATTTGTATCATTCCGTTTTATTTTGGCAGGCTTCTCGGAGAGCTGAAAAAAACTGTACACAACAGGGCGAAGCTCGAAGGATCAATTATAGAGGCTTAGGTTCAATATGAGTCGCTTGCTTTCTATGGAATGTATTTAAAAGATGTGGACACAACTTTCAATCATCCTTAGCGCAATGATGATGGAGGTATGAGAAATGAGAAACTTTCTGTTTTTGCCCAAAGCGCACGACCCTTTGGAGATCCTGTACGAGGAGAGTCGTTTTCTAGAAATGACATGAAGGTAGCGCATTGGTTCGTACTTAACAATTGTGATGAGATAATGGCATACTTAGATGAGCATGAAGAGATGATGAAGCGAGAACATCCATCACATTTGTATGCCAAGAAACACCGTGATTTGTTTCCACAATGGTTTTGGAATATGTAAGTTATAAGTGTTTTGTATTTGATATATATATTGTATTATTTAATGTAGTCAAACTAACATGTGAATATTTTGTATAATATTAGGTGAATAAGTTCAAATCATCGAATTCACCCTCTTACAGTGAAGAGTTATATAACTTGGCGTTCGGCCCGATTCGCGCTGAATTATTCTCGGGTTGCCATGTTAATGACGTCAAGTTTTTGGGGACTGCACGAGATGACAAGTTGTGTACGCAAAACAGCAGTCTCCGTGTCCCAGGTGGAGGCGAAAGTACGGACATTGATTTCTATGGCAAACTCACAACTGTCATGCAATTGCTTTACAAAGACCGATACCAAGTGATCATGTTTAAGTGTCGATGGTTTGATACAAACCCAAATAGGCATGGAAGTGTTAAAATAGACCATGACTTACTATCAGCGAACATTAACAGAACTTGGTATGATAACGACCCTTACATTTTGGCAAACATGGCAAGACAGATTGTGTATCTAGATGACCCTAAAGCCGGAAGTAGTTACATCACTGACCAACGGTTGGAATTTTCCATGGAAAATGATGCAGAAACACTTCGAGATACAAATGTTATACAAGAACCGTTTCAGCTTCAAGGAGTGTCTTCAATCGAAATACCGATTCAGTCAATTACAATTGACCTCGGTGATCTTCCTTGATATGAAGTTCCAGTGGGCCCGAACAATGAAAGTGATGAGGAGGAGGATTGGGAGACCGAAAGTGATGATAGCGAGGATAACGAAGGTTATTATAGTTCAGATGATGAATAATGCAATTTATTAGCGACTACCCATGTAAAACATAGTAAATGAAATTTGTTGTAATTTAATTATGGTAGTGTAAATATGGCAATGACAAATTAAAATCAAGTTGCACACAAAATTTGCAATCACAAATTAAATTACAACATATAATATATAAATTTAAATTTAGATATATACCTAAATTTGAAAACAGATTTGAATATGTCTATTTGATTTTCAGTGGTCTTTATGAATATAAGAATTAGGGCTTTCTCTTTTTTGTGTTTAAAATCCTCAAATTGAATGAATAAAAAAATTGAAAAAAAAATCAAGAATTGGGCCCTTAGGTCTCACAACCCTGTCTTATTTAATGATTTAATCAAGCATTAAACCATTATACAAACTATAATGTGTAAATTAAGTCTCACATCGGAGAATAAAATAATAATTCAAATTTAAAATATAAACATTTAACTTTTCAATTGTACCAAAATCTTTGAATTTTTTTTAGTAATTCATATGAAACTTAAGTTCATTAAGGTAACATGTGTAATTTTTATAATAATTATTTAAAATAAAGAAAATAAAAAAATAACTTTAAAAAAAAAACATTGCCAGAGGTTTGCACGATGTAATGAGAACATCCACGTCGCGCAAGTTGTCCTAATATACTAGAAATCGTGATATTTAATTTATAGTTTAAAACTTGCGCGAAGAACATTTTTTGTCGCGCAAGAAAGCGAATGGTTTGCGTGATGTCACTGCAGTTTGTACGTCGCGCAAGGTGTGCGACGAAAGACATACTTCGCCGCACAACGAAGTTAACCTTTACGTCTCGCAAGTTGCGATTATTTCCTAGTGAAAATACAACCTTGCGCGACGAAGTATTCGTATCGTCGCGCAACACTTCTTTACGCTACGAAATTATAGATATTCATCGCGCAAAACATATTTATAAATCACAATTTCATAAATAAAGTGTTGACCCTATTTGTGATTTAACCCACAATTCATCCACATTCCAAGAGGCGTTTTTAAAATAAAAATAAAATTGGTATATTAGAATAATAATAAGTGACATTCGAATATATTTAAAAAACGGATATACAATTTAAATTTAAAATATAAGTTTAATATAATTGTCTACATAAAGGTGTACTCAATTAACTTGGATTAGGTTCGGTTACTAGATCAAGTTACGTGAGTATCCAAGCGTAATCGAGTCAATGAGGTTTCTGTGATGTGAGAGAATGGGTTTGATTGAAGCAGTGGAGGTTGTAGTGGTTCAAATCAATGGTGGTTACTCTTGGGTTCAAGTGGGTTGAGTGAGGTTGCGTGTTCAAGGAAGAGGAGCCTTTGAGATGAGATGAGATCATGTGAGTGAGATTGGAGTCTGAAAATAACTAAAAAAGTATTAACCCTTCGTTTTATAACTTGAACTTGAGATCACTTTTATTATTGATAGTTGATTTGTTAATTAAAGTTTGATCATTGTGATTTTCTTTGTACAAAGGTGTTTATTATTTTAATAGAGTATTTTTCCTTGTATAAATTTTTTTTTTTTTAACATTCTTATGGTGTTTATTATTTTTTAATAGAGTATATTTTTTTTTAAAAATAAAAAATTTAGGGTTTATTTTTTTAGGAAAAGGATAAGGCATATATTAAGTCATACAAGTGCACGGCCTTATTTTTTAAAAAAACCCAAAATTTTTAAGGCATATATTAAGACTCTTGCCCAATTTGGTTTTGCATTTCTTTTGGTTCTATCCAAGTTTTTAATGGTCTAAGTTTTGGTAAAGGGAAGGCTAAAGGTGAACTGGGCATTTATGAGAAATCTAACTGGGCACAGCTAGCAAATTGAACTAGAGTATTTTTCCTTGTATAAAAAAATTTAAAACATTCTTATGGTCTTTATTATTTTTTAATAGAGTATATTTTTCTAGGCATTATTATTTTAAAAAAAATAATATACTCTATTGAAAAATGATAAACACCACAAGAATGTATAAAACAAAATTTAAATTTAAATTTATAATATGGATAAGAATGTATAAAAAAAAATTTAAATATAAATTTATAATATTACTTTGCCAGAGGTTTGCACGACGCACAATGTCTTCTACGTCGCGCAAAATGATCAAACCCTTCACTAAACCCTAAACCCAAAAATTTCTGGCGGAATAACAACCTTGAGTGACGATTTTGTCCACTCGTCACGCAAGGTGACAAAATTTTTGGCGGAATAAGCACATTGAGCGACGGTTTTTCTTATTCGTTGCGTAATGTAATGAAAATTTGGGCGGAAAACTACCTTGCGCGATGTCATTATTATTACTTTTTCCGTCGCGCAAGGTTTATTAAACATACCTTGTGCGACGCATTGTGTTCTTTGTCATGCAAGATCTGTTAAATTTTCAGAAAAATCGTGACCCTTTCTTCCTCACTTCCTCTCTCTGCCCTAAACTGTCTCTCTCTCCACCGTCACCTCAGCCCACTTCTCCGCCGAAAAAAGGACTGGGCCGCCACAACCTTCTAAGCCCAGACCTTCCTCGACTGTCACCGTCGAGCCTGCTGCTGGAAATTGCTGGGTTTGACAGATTCTTCGCTGGCCTCGTTCTCTCTCCTCCGGCCACCAAATCCGACACTTGAGGTATGGTTTCTAGACTATTTTTCGTGCTCTAGCTGATGGTTGTGTAGGATTTGGTTAATTGTCACAATAGATTTCTGGAATTTAAACTATAGGTTTTGGCCGGTTTTTTAATTTAAATTATGGCCACTTTTGGCCATTTTTCGGGGTAGGTCCGAGAACCAAAGTGGTTCCAATTGATGTTTTGAACCTAGGATAGGAACCTTGGCCCTTAGTTTTTAGAATTTTCCGGCGATTGTTTTCTCTTTAGACACCCACACGCTGCCGGCATGTGTGGTGGCGCGTGGGAGACTGTGGCAGTGGGACATTGGGTCCCAGTGCAATCCCCTATTTGTCACAAGCGCGTAGGTGTGCTCGTATTTGAAATTGGTTACCGTTTGAGTCTCAAACGGATTTTTCCTATTGTGCGATTTCCAGGTTTGATATGTTCGGACTGTTGGATCGAACTCAAACTCACGTATGTTGTACCTTGTGTTTCTAGGATCGTGGATCGGAGTCCTGGATATTCCGAAATCGCAAAACCTAGGTCAAGCTATGCTTTTAATTAATTAGTTAAATTTCTTAATGAAATTGTATGTGCTTACACTTATATATTCGTAAATTTGATTAATTTGTATGTGTATTAATGAAATTGTGCAGATGTCAGACTTGATTAAACGTCGTAGGTCGGTGACGACTGCACCGAGTTTGGAGACCCCGGCTCAGCCGACATCTACTACCATTGCTCCAGCACTGATGGACCACGTGCCAGCTGGTCCCGGGGGGGTCCCAGGCGTCTGCATCATCAACTTCATCAGTGGCGCAGCCTGTTAGTGCTAGGCGGTGACACCGACCCACCAGCACCACCGACACCATATCGGTCGACGGTACTGGTGCCTCGGGGTCACAGCCAGGTATAGATTTCCTTCAACTCTAGTTCTTTTTTGTATTTTTTGTATTGTGAATTTTATAGTTAAATTTGTTATTTATTTAACATTAATGTCATATTTCTTTGCAGCCAAGAAGAACACCCGAGGGCCGTGTCGGCAGCTGAAGACGGCGAAGGTCACCCGGGTGACCAGCAGTCGTATCAGCATCGGATACAACGAGCGCCATCGGGTTGCATCAACGGCGGAGTTGCATAGCTCCTTGGCCCACGATATTGGCCACGTCGTTCGGACCCATTGCCCGATGCAATGGAAGTCTTGGAATGTCATGCCTGACGAGATCAAGATGGAGGTTCGCCGCCAGTTGTCGATATGTATCCTACATTTTAATTATTTTTCTTTCAAACTTTATATATTTCTATTACTTAACCTAGGTAATTAATTTATTGCAGACAAACGAAAACTTAGAGGACCTCGACGACGAGTCGTTGGCGTACGTCAACAGACTCTTCGCTGAGACGTACAAGCAATGGAAGAGCGACTTGCACCACCATTTTGAGGCGTTTGATGATCCGCAAGTATCTCTTCAGGAGGGTTGCCCGCGGGAGCTTGAGGGGCGGGAGGATAGTTAGGCATGGCTTTGCGCTCATTTTCAGGCGCCCGATTATGTGGTATTTAAAAAAATAATATTTGTTTAATTATTAAATATTTCTTACTAATGTTTATTTAATTTTTTATATTTCATTATTATTTAATTTTTTATATTTCAACTAATACGTTTTATTTTTTGTATAACAGAATAAAGCCCAAGTCAATAAGGGCAATAGGAAGAAGAAGACTCTTATCACCATTCCGGTTCCAGGCTCCTTGGCCCACGATATTGGCCACGTCGTTCGGACCCATTGCCCGATGCAATGGAAGTCTTGGAATGTCATGCCTGACGAGATCAAGATGGAGGTTCGCCGCCAGTTGTCGATATGTATCCTACATTTTAATTATTTTTCTTTCAAACTTTATATATTTCTATTACTTAACCTAGGTAATTAATTTATTGCAGACAAACGAAAACTTAGAGGACCTCGACGACGAGTCGTTGGCGTACGTCAACAGACTCTTCGCTGAGACGTACAAGCAATGGAAGAGCGACTTGCACCACCATTTTGAGGCGTTTGATGATCCGCAAGTATCTCTTCAGGAGGGTTGCCCGCGGGAGCTTGAGGGGCGGGAGGATAGTTAGGCATGGCTTTGCGCTCATTTTCAGGCGCCCGATTATGTGGTATTTAAAAAAATAATATTTGTTTAATTATTAAATATTTCTTACTAATGTTTATTTAATTTTTTATATTTCATTATTATTTAATTTTTTATATTTCAACTAATACGTTTTATTTTTTGTATAACAGAATAAAGCCCAAGTCAATAAGGGCAATAGGAAGAAGAAGACTCTTATCACCATTCCGGTTCCAGGCTCCTTGGCCCACGATATTGGCCACGTCGTTCGGACCCATTGCCCGATGCAATGGAAGTCTTGGAATGTCATGCCTGACGAGATCAAGATGGAGGTTCGCCGCCAGTTGTCGATATGTATCCTACATTTTAATTATTTTTCTTTCAAACTTTATATATTTCTATTACTTAACCTAGGTAATTAATTTATTGCAGACAAACGAAAACTTAGAGGACCTCGACGACGAGTCGTTGGCGTACGTCAACAGACTCTTCGCTGAGACGTACAAGCAATGGAAGAGCGACTTGCACCACCATTTTGAGGCGTTTGATGATCCGCAAGTATCTCTTCAGGAGGGTTGCCCGCGGGAGCTTGAGGGGCGGGAGGATAGTTAGGCATGGCTTTGCGCTCATTTTCAGGCGCCCGATTATGTGGTATTTAAAAAAATAATATTTGTTTAATTATTAAATATTTCTTACTAATGTTTATTTAATTTTTTATATTTCATTATTATTTAATTTTTTATATTTCAACTAATACGTTTTATTTTTTGTATAACAGAATAAAGCCCAAGTCAATAAGGGCAATAGGAAGAAGAAGACTCTTATCACCATTCCGGTTCCAGGCCCTTCTCATATAGGATGGATGCACGGCGGCGTGTAATAATAAAATAATTTATATTTAATTTTTAATATGTCATTATTATTAATTTATTTTTTTCATACTAATATTTTTCTTCTCTTGTTCAATTTAGGGGGGGCCTAAATTCCCAGAGATCGACGTCTTTGGTGACGTTTATGTTCGACCTGGGAATGAGTTGGCCGAGTCTCTTCATGTAAGTATTATTTAATTTTAATTCTTATGTTACGCATTCAATTATATGCATGTTTTAATTTATATTTTATGTTATGTTAAACAGACGACGATGGTGGAGAGGAGCCAGTTGGTTCTTCAGGAGTCCACCTCTCCCAACTTCCTCCCGAGACTCTGATCGAGTCTGTGGATCCTCCACAGGATACTGAATTTTAGATCTTGAAAGAGACGTTGGATCAGACTCTCGGGAGGAGGCCGGGGACATATTGTCGAGGGATGGGGAATGCCCATCGGAGGGAACCTAGACCCCGTTCATCAACGCAGTAAAACAGTCAGGTGACTGCTTTGACAACATAGGTGGCCGCGCTTCAGGGTCAGATGTCGGTGATTCTGCAGTCCCTTGTGCGGTCTGGCATTCTAGTCCCGCAATTTGATGCCTCGACCATTGCCCCTGTGGACCCCCAGACCTCCGAGCTGCATATGCCTTACGACCAAGTAGATTTTGGAACATTATTTGATTAGTTTTTTATTTTTATAATTATATTTTAAACATTTCTCTTGTAACACATTTATTTATTTTATATAATTTTTTGTTCTCTTCAATTCATTTTGTGATTGCCATTTCATTTTTTAAAAACAAAAAAAAAAAAAAAAAAAAAAAACCATTTTTTTTATAAAATAAAAAAAAATGAAATAAATTTAAATAATATATATTAATTTTGAGCGACGAAACGTTTTTCGTCGCACAAATTCACATTTTACAAAATAAAAAAACTAAGAACAACATTTTAATTACATATATTTATTCTTGACCGATGAAGATATTCGTCTCGCGAAAACATTTTGTGCGATGAATGAATATTTCGTTGCACAATAATCTTCGTCGCTCAAATATACATGCGACGAATATGGTTTCGTCACGCAAAGGTTTGTGCGACGAACAACTGTGTCGTCCCTAAACCTTTGGTGCTACAATGGTTAACCTCGTCGCTCAGTTTTGCGCGACCAATGCAGAAACTTGGTCGCGCAAAGTCTTTCTTCACGCTCTTTGCGCGACGGATTGTGCGCGACGAATTTTTGTCATGTTGAAATTTGTGTGACTAAATGTGACTTTGCGGGACGAAATTCTCTTCGTCACACAAAGCGTAATATTTAGTAGTAATTTAACCATTTGATTAGGTGGTAGTCATTTTAGTTTGTCTTTGAAAACCATCGCGTTCGTCAATTTATTTGACCACACTTAGATATCTAAATGGTTTACATGTTGGTTAATTTTTTTGCAAAGATGATTAATATGAATGTCCATTTGAATAATTGAAACACAACTCGAAGTGGGCCCCACAAGTGATCCATCAAACAAATTTATTTTAGAAATCCCTTAATGGAATGGGATATATATTATATATATTAGCGTCTCGACCCGCATGTGTTAATTAATAGCCTTCTTTCTCCTATTTACTTATTCTTTTATCCTTAATTATAGAGAAATTTTTTGCATCTAAGTGCTAAACAGTTAGTAAGTTAATAAGGCACTAACCACTCGCCTTGATCTACTCCAAAATCTATCTCATGATCTGAACTATTTACTTTTCAGTTTGTTAATTGAATGATCATCCCTATGCATTCAAATCGAAAGGTGTTTAGTTATATAACTATTGCCAAAATAGACGATCACAATATGTTTGATAAAGAATGAAATATTCATGATAATAATCAAGTGGCTACAAGATTTTTTTCAATTTGGATGCAATTTGACAGGAATGATTATTTGGCTCCTCTTATGTGTGTTCTTGAAAAACATTGATATGTCAACTGCGTAATTTGGGTTCAATTTGGGTGTATTATCTCGTACGTGCGGATCGAGATAGAAGGAGGAAAGATAGTTCAAGCATGCAACTTGCCCTTCGGATCATCTTCTACGTCATCCATGAATCGCTTCCAGAACCAGTGTTGCTTCCAAACTCTTTCTGTCATCTCTTCAATAGGGACACCCTTGGTCTCAGGAATTAAGACCACAACGAAAATTGTCATGACAAAGACCCAAAATGTGAAGAAGAGGAAAATGCCAAACTTCATGTTGCAAAGCATTGAGAGGAAGGCCTGTGCTATGATAAAGGTGAAGAGCATGTTGGTACAGACAGCCACACTCTGGCCTGCTGAGCGGGCCTCTAATGGGAACGTTTCGCTAGGGATCAACCACCCGAGAGGTCCCCAAGACCACGCGAAGGATGAAACAAAACTGCAAACCATAAGCACCACAACAATTGCCAAGCCATGGCCAAGGTTGTTAGAGTGATCCTTCACTTTGAGTCCCCATTATTATTGCAACCACCAATTGAGAAAGGAACATTTGGACACCGGCTTCTAACAATAGCACGCGCCGACCAGCTCTGTCGACAAAGTATATTGATACAACGGTTGAGAGGACATTGACAGCTCCTGTAATAACAGCTGAGTATAGGGAAGCATCACTCTTAAATCCCAAGGTCTGGAACAAAACTGGAGCGTAGAACATGATTGCGTTAATGCCAGTGAATTGCTGGAAAATCTGTAGGCACGTAAAACATAACATGTGAGACTATATGATACGTGTTAAATGTAACTAGGATTTTGAATTGCCTTAGTTAGCACAAGTTCTAGTATAGTTGCGGCACCTGCATCCAAATTGCAATGACCAATTGAGGTCTGTTCCTACGCTTAAGGAGGTTTCTGAAAGGATGCTTCACTTCTTTTGCCACACGACTTGCCTCCACAATCTCTAAGAATTCTGGATCCACATTGTCAACGCCCCTAATCCTTTTAAGAACTGCTTTTCCTTCCTCCAACTTACCTCGTTCGATCAAACTGTTAGGTGTGTCTACCACAATGAGGGACCCAACAGTCAGCATACCTGCTGGAATGCCAGCCAAACCTAGTGACACTCTCCATCCATATCCCCCTTCAATTCTGTGCCAGAAAAAGTACATTGATTAATCACTTGTGTCTAATTACTGGTGATGATTAATGGAATATTAGGGAGGATGGTGGCTTACTTGGCAGTTCCATAATTGATAAGATTTGCGAAAAGAATGCCAATGGTGATATTTAGCTGGAAGAGTATGTTAAGTGCCCCGCGAATTCTTGTGGGTGCAATCTCCGAAAGAAAAAGCGGCACTGCCTGTAATTATATTCATTAATTAGTAAAACCTAGCATGTGATAGAAAAAGCTAAGATTAGGAAATAATTATGTACCTGGTTAGCAAAACCAACTCCACAACCAAGCAAGATCCTCCCAATGATAAGCATGGCAAGGTTAACAGCTGCAGCATTAAAAACTGTTCCGACTACAAAGAAAACCCCAGCAATGAACATGGTGAGCTTTCGTCCCAGGGATCGGGTTGTGTACGACGCGAAGAAGGTTGAAATTAAAGCAGCGAGGTACAAGGAAGATGTGAACAACTGCAAGCCTTGATTATCGTATTTGCAGTAGTTGCTCTCAAGTCCAGTCTCTTGAGTCTTCTTATAAACAACCGGGAAGAACTGTTTCAGGAAAGAAGGCATGGATGTAACACCCCCTGCATCCATCACAATGATCACACGTGTCAAATTAATTAAATCAAGAAAGAATTCGAAAAAACTTTTTTACCCCCAAAAAAAAATGGTTAATTAATTTGACGTGAATGATATGAAAAGCTCCACAATGCCTACCTGAAATACCAACATCATAACCGAACATGAGGCCTCCGCTAGCGGCCATTATGCAAGACATGATCACTAGAGGCGTGATCTTTGCTTCAAAGTCTCCGCCTCCCGATGCGGCCCCAAAGCCACCACCCGCCATGGTTTTCCTGCTTAACTGTACCTTAATTCTTAGTATCTAATTTGAGGAATGTTGTAGTTTGTATATGGTCCACGACCTCAAGGCAACTGTTCTTAAGAAAAGAGTAGCTCGGTGAAATGAAGTGTGTGTTTGAGGGATTTATATATACTAGATGACTTCATGGCAACAAGGAGTGAATGACGTACGTAAAAAATGGATCATTTAGTTAGTGACACGGTCAGGATCTCTCCTCATGGCATTGATCTTCGGTTGTTTTTCTTTCTTGATGCTTGGTTAGGCATTAACGAGGAGTTAGTTGCACTAGAGTTGATCAAGTCTCTTATGAGTAATGTTAGAAGGACCACATTTCGTAACGATAATATGTGGTTAATCCGTCAACTATTACATCATTCATGTGCCTGAAAGTGTATTTGTATCAAGGATTGGTCCGGCTCTCTCCTAAACTTGCCTAAGTTTCTAAGCCTCACCTTTCGTGAAGATTGAACAAGTCATAAGTTAATGTGGAAATAATACATTGACATTAAGATATTTCTGTTTACGTTTTGTGTGTGGTTTTCTTAATACATTGCTTTCTATATCTATGTGTGTGAAAAAAATCTTATGCCAATTTTGATATTAAACACAAAAATCTAAATTGTCCAAACTTCATCGAGTTTTTGAATGAACCACAATTTTATTTATTTATTTATTTATTTTTCTGGCGAAGAAGGGGAAAGAACCATATATAAATAGCCATTCTTTTGATTTTTCCAAATTTTCATCTCTGAATTTTTTTAGAAATGGCTTCGTCATGGGTGCTTTGGTTCCTTTTATAGCTTTAAGTTTTGGCTATTTACTGCTGAATTGTGGACCTTAGATTTTATACATATCAAGAACCAATAGCCATCTTCTGATTTTTTGTTATAATTGCTACTGAACTTTTGAGCAGCCATGGATGAGTGGAGAGAGACAGGGAAGGCTTTGGGCACAAGCAGGCAAAGTGGCCGCATAGGCCCTCATATTTGTGCCCTCAATTTGTATATACATACCTATGTTATTTTTTTATAAAAAAAAATTGTATTATATAAATAATACTAGTAAATATTATGTTAGGCCCAAGTATTGAAATAATAATAATAATAATAATTTGCCCAATTCAATTCAAAATTAAAAAGAGAAAATTTAATACAAATTTATAAATAAACCAAATCCTAGACATGTATTTATAAAAAAACCCAAGCACTATTTAAACATAGAAACACACCCAAAATCAACCCCAAAGTCAACTTTTTGGGTGTGTTTATAAATGGGTTTTGAGTGTGTGTAATGGTGGGTTTTGGGTGTGTTTATATGTTTAAACAGTGCTTGGGTTTTTTTTATAATTTCAACCCCCATTTTGGATGTTTTAGTGAAACTCCCAAAATTTAATAAAGGCCCAATTATTTTATAATGAAATGATACAAACTCAAAGATTAGATCCCGTTGAAAAAATAAAATGCATACAAAATACATGGGTACCTGTCTCTATGGATTCCGAAACTCTACATTAAAATAATATATTTTTGTGCATTATAAAAAATATGGTATATTGAAGAATTCCCATGGTTTTCGATTTTAGCACATATAGGTTATTGTGTTTTTTAATAAATTGGTAACGTTGTTGTTATCCCTCTCTCCCTGCAAGCAACTCCTCCGATATAAATTGATGGTAATATTTTGTTGACTGCGAAAACAAAAATTAGTCACACCAAGAACAACTAATTTGACATTTTGTCCTTCAAAAGATGCAATTAACAATGATTTAAGTTAGGAAAATATAACTTCTCCGTCACTAGCTAGCTGTAAGAACCTACTTATTTGAAAGCTAGATGGATGGGCTCTATATGGCAAAATCCTAAAATATTATACCGTAAAATACATTTTTGGACCAAGGTTGCATAATTGCATTGGGTTATATAGTCCACGGCAGATTACATGTAGCTCTGCCCTTGCCATCTTCTATCTGAAACTTCAGCTCCTTTCTTTATCTAATTGATAAACAAAGCATGGGCAAGAGAGAGGAAAAATATTGGCTACAAAGGCCAAGGATAAAATGGCTCAAGGACAGCGAACACCGCTTTCTTTTATCAAACTCAACCATTGCTAGGAGAAGGCAGAACATAATCCTCATAATCAAGGATTAAAATATCGGCCGTGCAGATAATATGGGGCCTCCAATTTACAGATATTTCGAGAATATATCGTTATCGTTTTAGATATAGAGAAAAAATCAACAAAAAGGACAAATATAGGCATTGAAACACATAATTTTGGTGTAAAACTTTCATAGATGTTATGTACATTATCAATGAATGTATTGAACAAATAAAACTCAAAATTTACTAATAATAAGATATACATTGATGAAATATAAGCGGTATGTAATGCACATTAATGAAAAGTTTGAAAATAAAATTTTGATTAGAATGAATAAACCATGCATAAATCTATAGTTTGTTTAAACATTGGATTACAATTTAGATAAGTGTCCACCTACATAAATGAAGAGCTCCTATGAGGTTCAAACAATGAGGAACAACCATCCAGATTCATAGTCATACCAAGTCATGTAACCCGAGTAGTTTGTAAGCTATGTTAGAACATGGTGCACATAAGTCTCTCTCGAGCTCCCTACTGTTTTCCCCATTTATAAGATAGTTAGGATTAACCCAACTAGTAGGTCCATAATTTATTTCATCATCTTGAGCTCCATAACTAGTTCTACTATAATCAGACATGACATAACCATAGCCATAATAAAATTCATTTGAGTTAGTAGTAGGTCTAGTTCCTATGCTCATAGATCCAAAATGATCACCATGTCCTCTTCAGATGGATTGGAGGTATGTGGGCAGTGGACTGTGCATAGATTCTTCATAATAATAAATTATAGGGTTTTGGGCAAGGATTAGCAATTTTTGGGTTTCAATTTGCTTCAATTGCCTTCAAAACTTCTGAATTTTTGTTGGGTTCTATTATAGGTATCAGAAAATATCGGGGATATTGACAAAATATCGGGAATATCGCACTTATTGGGGGATATATCGTCAATACAGGGGAAGATATGGCCTTACTCCCCAGTATCGGTGTCGATAGTTGAAAATACCGATATATCGATAGATATATCGGTGTATCGGCCGATATTTCAATCCTTGCTCATAATAGAAGGAAGCAATAGGCAGTGACATGTGGGCCAATATGCTACAAGAAGGGTGATAGAAGAGCACTTCAAAGCGTTGTTCACGGCGAAGGCCCAAAATGTGGGAGATTGATGGGGAGATGGTATCTTAAACACAACCTCCAACGAAACTACACCAACACTAAAAATATAGAATGAACACTCACAATTTGCGGCTAAACTTAGCTGCGTTTTCTGAATATATTCTCAAATTCAACGTGACCAATTGGTCTACAAGAAAAGGTTTAAATAACAATTACACCCTAGGAATATAAGGAAAACATGATTCGAGTACAATCAGGAAAACCAAAACACGAGGAAAATAGAAAAGGAAGTAAATCAGCAGTAGGAAATGTCTCCTAATTTATTTTGGGTAATCTTTGAAGTAATTAGGAGGCTTGACTGATCTCTTGGGCTTCCTTAATTTGGCTTAGGATGCTCTTGCATAAGAGAGTCCTCAGGTTGGAAACGACTGGACCTCGAATCAAAATTTGGGGCTTCACTCTCACCATAGTAAGCTTGTAAGTCAGTGAAGTTTAATGTAGGTGAGACACCAATGTCATTTGGCAATTCAAGTACATAAGCATTTTGACCAACCCTTTTCAATATTTTGTATAGTCCACCACCTCTATCATGCAATTTACCATATTTTCCACGAGGAAATCTCTCATTTCTTAAGTTGATCCATACTAAATCCCCTTCTTAAAACTCATTGTAACGCCTATGTTTATCAGCACTGTCCTTGTACTTTGTGTTGCTCTCTTTAAGTCAAAGGCTAACACGTTCATGGACCTTCTTGATATAATCAACCATGTCATTGGCATCCCAACTAAAATGATTCTCTATCAGATGTAATTGTAGTATGAATCCCATGCAATTTGACAATCTCCCGAAAATAAATATGAGCAATATTGTTAGCGTTCATGGTTG